AAAAGTCAGCAATTTTACTTGGATACCATTTTCATTTTTTAATGGAAATGGATAGTAAGGAGCTCAGAAGCAGTGATAATAGGGTACTGTAGAAATTGACAGTTTTTCTCACACCTGTTTTACTGTATCACACAGTGTTAGAGAGCTTCAGGGGGTAGCCGAGTTAGTCTGTTAGGGTATGTCTACACAGCAAAGTTATTTCGAAATAACAGCCCTTATTTTGAAATAACTTTCCTAGTGTCTACACAGCCAAACCACTATTTCGAAATAAATTCAAAATAGTGGAGCACTTATTTCAAATTTGGTAAACCTCATTCCATGAGGAATAGTGCCAAATTCGAAATAGCTATTTCGAAATAAGTGCTGTGTTATTAATAGACACTTATTTCAAAATAGGGGGCCTCCAGCCTTCCCAGGGTGCCACGGTGACCATTCCAACCTCAACCAAGAACACTCCTCGCCCTGCCCCTCCCCGGAGCCCTTAAAGGGGTAGACTCTGGCCACAGTGCCTGTTCCAGCTCCCAACCTGCCAGCCCAGAGCCAGCAGTCACTGCCCCTCACTCAGTGGCCCCAAAACATGAGCCAGCAAGCCACCGGCAGGCAGCCCTCCACCGTTCACCAGGAGCAGTCTGCCAGCTCCCAGGAGCCTGACAGGGCCCAGAGAAGGCAGGCGCCTTCCTGGTCCAGGGTAGAGATCATGGACCTTATTCAGGTTTGGGAGGGATGCCCCCAACATCCATGATCTCTGCACTAGATGGAGGAACGTGGCTGTCTATGGCAGGATAGCTGCCAGCCTGACCACCGAAGGCCACATGCGAACCCAGGAGCAGGTTCTCATGAAAATCAAGTTGGTCCAGCAAGACCCCCACCCCCTTTTTCACCTTGCTTCTCCCTTCCAGCACCCTCCTCCCAGGTTTCCCCCTCCCCTCTCCCACTCTGTCTCCTCCTCCCGCCTCCTTTCCCCAGTCTCACCAGAGTTTTATTCTCCCCCTCCCCCCAGTTTTGTTAAATAAAGAGAGTTTGTGTTCATGAAAATACATGTATTTTATTTTACATCTGGAAGTGAAAGAACGTGAGGGAGGAATGAGGCACAAGCCCTCAGTGGGGCAGACCAAGGAGGCTCTTAGTGCTCCTCAGGGTGGAAGCTCTCCCGCAGGGCCTCCTGGATACTGACAGCCCCCCCGATGGACCTCCTAGATGGCAACCTGCAGAAAGGGAAGCCAGGCTCACAGCAATGCATCCAAGAGAAGCACCAGAGTGCCATGGGGCAGCTCTGGCTTCATGTTGCAGAGTGTTGTGGTGTCCCGAGTGAGGGCAACCAGACCACTCAGAGACAAAATGCTTTGCTGTCCCTCATCGAGGAAGGCAGGCAAACAGGGAAACCTGAGAACTGGCTGTCCAGGTGGTGTCCCTTTAAGCACAGGCCTCAGCCTCAAGCAGCAGCCACACAAAGTGAATCCTGACCTGATGGCCCTGCCGGATCTGGTTCTGGCTGGCCTTAAATGCAATTCAGCATCCACTCAGAGTGTGGATGCACTATTTCAAAATAGCAAACCGCTATTTTGAAATGCGTTTTGTGTGTAGACGCGTTATTTCGAAATAAGCTATTTTGAATTAACTGTTTCTAAATAGATTATTTCGAAATAACGCTGTAGTGTAGACATACCCTTACAGAAAAAAAAACAAAGGGTCTGGTAGCACTTTATAGACTAACGAAACAGGTAGATGGTATCATGAGCTTTCTTGGGCACAGCCCACTTCTTCAGATGACTGGAGTTATGAAGAGTGACTGTGTCTTGGTATCAGAAATGACTTAGATGTTTAGGAGTCTTTTGAAAATAGAACGTGAGCTCCTAACTAGCTTAAGTGCTGTTGATGTCTGAAGAGCTTTGGAGTAAAATATTCATCAGAGTAATGAATCCAATAACGTAATGGTGCAGTCTGTGCAAACCCCTTTACCCCAGGCCCTTGATGGATTTGGGACAGAGAAGGTGACTACCTGTTAGCTCTCCATTTTTTTCTTCATTCCTCTCTGAAGTCTCTGTAGAAAGAAGTGGAGAGAGAGAAGCATAACTCTCCCTTTTTTGTTCTGTTCCAGGCAGAACTTTTCCGACTTAGGTATTAAAGGCCTGCGAATGGAGATATAATGTGAACCTTTAGGAACTTCACAACCCTGAAAAGTGTAGATGCAAAAGTGCCCTGTTTTTTTTTTTTTTTTTAATTTTGAAAATATGGTAATTTTAAAGCAGAATAAATAAAGTGCTGTATAAATGATAAGCATAAATGCATCAAATGTTTGTGCATTTTTGTAAAGGATAAAATGTTAGTACACTTGATATCGATTGCATCCTTTGCTGTTGTCACAGAGCCTTTGTTTCTAGCAAGATTAAGCCCTGGAGGAAAAAATGGTATTTGAAGTTAGTGTAGAGAAATTCTGGTACAGCTGTTCATTTTTATTTTATTAAAAAAATTCACAAACTAATTACCCTAGACAGGTATTTCAGCATTAGGTCTGAAATCTATAAGCAGAAGGCTGGAACATTACTTGCTGGGTGATGACGGTAATGAGGCACCCTGCTTGCATTTCTATTATTTAACGCACACAATTAAATACACCTACACTGGACTTCATTTATTTGTCATGTAAAATTACTTTTAAAACATTATTTCACTTTAAGTTCTTTTTCATATTCAGAATTTAAAGAAATATTTCTTTACTTTTGCTTTATGTAGCACAAGATCAAAATCAATGTAGTTATTGTAATACAGCCAGTGGTTCATCTCTGGCCCTACACCAGAACAGGCATCCTCAGCCACAGCCATCAACTCCCTGCCCCAGCTCAGAGCCCCCTCCTGTACCTGAACCCCGCATTTCTGGCTCCACCACGGAGCCCATGTCTCCAGCCCAAAGGCCGTACCCACTCCCACATCCTAGCCTCTTGTCCCAACCCAGTGAAAACTAGTGAGTGAGCCAAGATGGGGGAAAGTAAGCAACAGAGGGAAGGGGGGATGTAGTGAGCAGGAGAAGGGGTTTCAGGGAAGAGGTAGAGTGGGGTTTTGAGCAGGAGATGGGGCAACGATGTTTGGTTTTCTGCATTTAGAAAGTTGACAACCTTAGGGTAGACCCCTGTACACACACGGCACCTGCTAGATTTTAAATGAGTTCGTTGGCATGCAAGATCCGACCAGTGACCTTCAAAAGGAGGAAGATGTCTAACAATGAAGTTACATAGTTTCTTTAGGAATTTGTCTTTTCACAGATATTGTAAGCCTCTCTGGCTGATTGGTACATGAGTCAAGCTCCAGTTCATTGAACCCAAACAAAATTCTGGTTCAACCAATATTTGATTTTGAGTAAAATTTTCAAAAGCACCTTCAGAAATTATTTAGGAGCTTCAATCCCATATTATAAAAGTGATTTAGGAGCTGAAGTCTATAGAAAGTTATTGTGACTAAGTCTTCTGAGTACCAAGTGATTCTTTTGATAATGGGGCTTCCAGTCCTAAATCATGTAGTTTCTTTTGAAAATTTTACCCTGGAATTGTTCTATGCCGTATATAAGAATGCCAGCTTAAAGTTTTGTGGGTTGGTGGCTTTAAAGGGGCCTCACCTCAGGATATATAGTTCCTTAAAGCCATCTTGTTTTTACTTTATGGTTGGTGTTTTATTCACTGTGGTGTTGAATTGGGGACCTTGAGTGCAGCCTTTTCAAAGTGCAAGCCCCATTTATACAAAAGTTTGGTTTTCTAAGAGACCTCTTGGATAAACAATCATCCTGTACACTGTGTTAGAGGAAAAAGCAAATTAACTATTTTTCAGCATATTTTTCAGTTGACAATAGCTTTTGTTTTAACCCAAAATTTGCATCAGGATGGCACTGCTCAATTATTCCAAATACTTATATTGTCTCCTCTTTTCTTTCAAGTGCCATCAGTTATTCAGATTATCTCCCTCTCTAAATATCATTATTATCTCTAAACCCAAGTGTAAGACATACGGGCTGTGCTTGTGTTGGAACCTGATCTTTCTCTGCTTTTCAGCTGTCAGTCTTCTTTTTTGTCCTTTCCTGATAATATTGTACTAAAAGTTGAGATAGTTTTTGTTCTATTTTTACCTCAATTAAATGCTTTCTGTATTGTTAATGTTTAGATGTTCATGCTTAATGTCACCTATGTCTCTTTTCAAATACCATGTAGTTGATTCTGCATGAATGGGGAAATAACCAGAGAGTATTTTGGGGTTTTTCCTATTTCCAGAGCAGAATGGTTTGCTCACTTTTGGTCAGAGCAGTTTGCAATTTAGGCTGGCGTTTTTTGATTCCCTGCTAATTTTGGAGTCTCAGGGACAGCCTGTAGCTGAAAGTGCCTTTTGATTTCTGCACTTGTACCAATTTCTCTCTAATTGGTACTTTTGCTCAGCTATCACTTGGATTATGGTGTATCATTTGTGATTCCACTTGTACCACTCAGAAATTGGAGCTGAACATAATGGCTCTCTTGTTTGGTGAGACAATCAGAGGAAGCATATTGTAATTGCTTTAAACATTGTATCGGCTTCCTGTCTGCTTCTGGGTGTAGTTCAAAGTATTGATATAGATCTTTAAAACTTAAAATTTGGATCCTAACCTCACAAGACTCCACTTCTTTCAGAACGTACGTGCTCGTGCTAAGAATCCCTAGATTTGAATGTGTGGGAATTGTTGGGGGACCTTCAGTGGAGGAGCTTTCCTTGGAATTTGCTGTTCTTGTTGGTCCAGTAGAATTGGGTTATTGACCTTCCAAAAATGTTGCAGAGATGTTATGTTCACTCATAATAGGATATGATTGAATAAAATATATTGGTATATTTCTCTTACAGTTAAAATTTATATTTTGGGTTGAATATATTGTAATTTATTTGGGATTTGTTAAATAATTCTGCATCTTGGGGAGGTGGGTGAAGTTGAGTGTGTTACCAAATGACAATGATGAGTACATTTTTCCATCATTTTTCCTCTCCAGGTGTGAGGCAGCCAGTCCACACATTCATCCTATTGGGTGGTGCAAAGAACATAGAAGAACTCTCATCACCCCTCCAGGTTTGTACTACACTATACAGTTGAAAGAACAGAAAATGTAGCTAACAGCAGCATTGGCCAAGACTCATAAGACATATGATGACAGCTCCTTTGAAATACTCTGCTTATAATTAAGAATTGGTATTTGGAAAGAGCTGAAGTGCACTTTTTACAAGCACTTGAAACATTACATTTAACGATGCATGCACAAATTTGATACCTTTCTGTACTGTATTAATGGGCCAGTTATCCAGAGAAGATATTCCCAGGGAAAAGATAGATATGGTTGAAAAGTGAAATGGAATGAGACAAATATCTTGGCTACCTCTATACTTCTCTTTTGCTTTCTTTTTCTCTAGGTTTTTTTCTTCTAGCTTCTTGTATGACAGGTTGAATGCACTTTCAAGTTCCAGCATCTTGGTGCTGAAAATTATGACAGATATTGCAATAACATGCAATATGTTTGGGGACAGTAGCATATTAAATGTACAAAATGATTTATGTATGATTATATTCTATTCCAGAGAGAAGGATTACCACAGCTGCTGCAGTAACTAAAAACAATAGCAAGTGATTAAGGTGGCTCACTGAGACTAAACTATCTAGAGAGTTACCACCCCCAAAGTAGTTTGCATATTGGTTCAAACTGGGTCCCCAAGAGACTAAAAAACAAAGGAAGAACTTTTTGGCACAAAAGGATGAGCTTGAATTTATACCAGGTCTTTCTGCTGATCCAATTAACAGGCGGGACTTTCTGTCTAGTGGGGGCAACCCACATGAAAGGGACTAACTTCCAGATTTGGTTCACATGAAGATATTTGTCTAATAGCAGCTTTCAACTTCCTGAAGGGAGCTTCCAAAGAGGATGGAGAAAGGCTGTTCTCAGTGGTGACAGATGGCAGAACAAGGAGCAATGGTCTCAAGTTGCGGTGGGAGAAGTCCAGGTTGTATATTAGGAAAAACTATTTCACTAGGGCTACGTCTACACTGGCCACAATTTCCGGAAAAGCCATGCAAATCAGGTAAGTCAGAATAGGGAAATCCGCGGGGGATTTAAATATCCCCCGTGGATTTAAATAAACATGTCCGCCGCTTTTTTTCTGGCTTGGGGAAAAGCCGGAAAAAAAGCGTCTAGACTGGCGCGATCCTCCGGAATAAAGCCCTTTTCCAGAGGATTTCTTATTCCTACTTCGCGGATTTCCCTATCCTGACTTACCTGATTTGCATGGCTTTTCCGGAAATTGTGGCCAGTGTAGACGTAGCTTAGGAGAGCGGTGAAGCACTGGAATGGGTTACCTAGGGAAGTAGTGGAGTCTCTATCCCTAGAGGTGTTTAAGTCTCGGCTTGACAAAGCCCTGGCTGGGTTGATTTAGTTGGGATTGGTCCTGCCTAGAGCAGGGGGCTGGACTTGATGACCTTCTGAGGTCTCTTCCAGCTCTACGGTTCTATGATTCTATGATTAATGCAACAGCTGTGTAACCTGACATGTATATTGTTGAAATAGTTTCAGGTAACTGCACCCATCTTTCCCTCCCACACCCTGTGTGGTCTACTCCAGGAGGTTCCAATCAGAACTTGTTTGCAGCCAAGACTTGTCGTTGAATAGGGACTTTTGACCTACTCCTTTGATCAGGGTTTCTTAGGGCTGTACAGCTCCTTGCTTTACACTGTCTAGAGGCCAAGCGTCTGTGTTTTGTTTTCTCTCCACATGCTCTGAACAGTGTATTGTAAGCAGGCACAAGTTACCTTTAATGGAGCATATAGACCCTGCAGTAAGATGGGAGGGGTTAATGGTCAGTACTGGACCCAGCTAGCCTCAGCCCTGTTGGAAGGAAGGTTTGAAAAGGGGGCAGCTCAACTGAGAAAGGGGGAAGCTCAGGAGGAGGACAGAAACGCTACCCTTTCGCTCCTGATAAGGGTGCCAGAGAACCCTTCCCAAGGAACTAAAGCTGTATGCTGAGCTTCAGCTGGGTCTGATGGTTTGATTGCCTTTGCTTTTGCTTATCACTTTCTATTTCAAGTGGAAGCCAGGGGGGCAAGTAAGGGGGAAGAACAGTAGATAGTAAGAAGAGATCTGATGGGTGGATAACTCGGAAGGCACCTTTTGGGGGCCAAATACCATTGACATTCTGAGGTCCCTGTGCTGAAGCCTGTCGGGGTAGAGAGGCCGAAGCCCCTTCACTGCCCACCTCACTGCTCCTCTGATTGATGAAGGTCTGGATGGCAAGACCTGGCCTCGGAGAGGTGGCACTTTGTGTGCTAACTGCTGGGCCACCTAACCCTACCGAGGACTCTGTGACATTGCCATTGTTCTTTCTAAGCAAGCTAAAAGCATGTATTCATAAGCTAAAAGCACTATAAGGAGAACGCATAAGAACAATAGAAGTTCCCATATGAATGATTACCATAGATCACCCACCGGTCTTATGGGGTAGGGAAGAATCTTTCTAACTCTTCCACATGGGTTGCCCTCTGCAGACAGAAAGACCTGTCTATTTGCTGTATCAGTGGAAGGACCTGGTGTAAATTCAGGCTCATCCTTTTATACCAAAAAGTCCTTTCTTGTCTCCTAGTCTCTGGAAAACCAAGTTTGAGCCAGTGTGCAAGCTATTCCAGGGTGAAGTATCTCTCTAGATAGTTTAGACTCCGTGATTAACCTTAATAATTTTTCATTGTTTTTGGTTTCTGTAGGAGATGTGTTAATCTTTCCCCTTGGAGTAGAATACAATCATACATCAATCATTTTATACTTTTAATATGGTGTAGTCCCAAAGATATTGCATGTCATTGCAATATCAGTGACAATTTTCATCACCAAGACTCTGGAAACAGTGGTAAATTCATCACATCACGTAAAAAGAAATAGGGTGAAAAATGTAGATAAAAGCAAAGCAAATGAGAACATAGAGAAAAGAAGTAGAGAAGAAACCAAGGAATTTGTTTCATTTTTTTTTCAACCATCTCCAAATTCCATAGGAATATCTTGATGGACAACTGACTCATTAATATAGCCCAGAACTGTATTAAATGTGTGCATGCACCATTAATTTGAATATATCAAGTACCTAAATCCTTTTCGAAAATGGGATTTCAGGCACTTGTGTCAACTGAGATGAGTGTAACTATGCCAAAATACCTTTAAAAATCTGGGTCTTAGTGGCTAAGTTGGATGGATATTCCTGTGTAATCAAGGGAACAAAAGTGGTAAGGATTCCTCAGAAAGGGAGGAAACCTAGATAAAAGAGCTTACTGAAAACAAGAAGGCAAAGCATTTATTCTTGAGTACTGTGTGCTGGGTTAACCGGATTCCCCTTCATTCTGGAGATTATGAAGACTATTCTATAGAAAATAGTTTGAGCTATAGCTTGTAAAAGGAATTAATAAATTCCTTTGAGATAGCTCTGTAGCACCTGTTGATCTTCAAATATAAGTAGGTAATTGTAGAATGGTTGGTATAAAACTAATGTGAAAGAATCAATGTAAAAAATGTCTTGTAGAATGCATGCTATTTAGAATCACTTATTCTATCTAAGTAAAACTTTACGAACTGTGGTTACTGTCTGGGTTTGGAACATTATGCCACAGTATAAAAAATATCTTGTCTTTTAGCAATAATTGCGACTGGTTAGAGCTCATTTGGATACAGAACTAAGAGTCAAGTTAGCTTGAATGTAGCTTGTAACCAAGGAAACCTGAGTGTGCTAGCTCTGTTCATTTTTTTGTTATTTGCTGCTGTTCTGATCCAATTATCTTCTAATCTAATAAAAGACTTATTAGATTTGGGGAAACAACAAGGTGATTGCCCTGTCAGCAGTGAGGCAAGACGTCTGTCTCTTGAGTAGAAAAGAGGAAAATGATAATTTGTGCAGAAATTGACATCGGCTCTGATGAAAAATGTGATACTATGTACAAAGTGTATGAAAAAGGACTCACAATATTTCTACACTGATGACATAGAAGTCTCAATAAAAATGTCCATTCTCCACCTCGATTTGGAGAGACATTTGTAGTTCTGAAAGACTTATTTATTTTAGGAACTGAAACATATGAACTATGAGTACTTGACTGAATTATTTAAAATGTAATATGTTCCCAAAACTAAATTCTTATCTAAGAGTTATGAGATTCACTCAAGAAATCAAAAGAAAATAAGAAATTGATTTCCTGGCTAATCTGAGACAGCTATTCACAACTTGTCATTTTGGTTAGCTTCTCAGAGAAGCACTCAGGGTTCATCGTGTGTTCAGAAACAGAAATCCAGAGTCAAGGGAGCTTGCTGAACATTGGTCACAAAAATAGAATTCAACCTGGAAGTAGCCACAGATACAATGTTGGTGTTTGATTGCACTAACAGACACATATGTCAGTTTTGGAGAATATGTTGACTTTCGTGTCACATAATGGAAGAAAAGCAACTCACACTTTGGAGGATATCAGCAAGTTGGAAGAGGTCTATATTTTTTATGAGTGGGAACATTGCAGGAATCAGAACAGTGTGTTCTTAAATAAGATGAAGTCAGAGAATGGTAGCGAGAGATAGCATCCAGTGTCTTTTTTTCATGCATCTGGTAGGAGAGGGAATTTCAGTGAAAGGAAATCATTTTTGCAGAGCATGAACCACCACACCACCTATTTGACTACGAAGGACCTCATTACAAATACTGTCCCTTTCCATGAGAAGATGGATTGTGATATACATATCTTTATTCAGAAAATTCAAGTTTTCCTCTCTCCATTCCCCTCTCATGCACTGTTACTTCACAGATATGTTGTGAGAAAATAGAAATTCCTTGTTTAGAACCCCTTTTTGAATGTCACTATAGAGTGATGCAGGTACTACTGCAAAAGATTTTATGTAACTTAAAAAAAAGTGTATGACTGATAAGTAAAATAAAAGATGCAAAACAATGAAAGCACAGATCGCAGGAGTCAGTGGCCTGACAACATGGAAAACTAATTAGCTAGCTAGACCTACTTACCAAGCTGAGAAATATCCCAGAGCTCAGTAGCCTGGGGAAGTTATGAAACATTTTAAGGAATCAGATTTCAGAACACAAATTACTTACAGAAAAACCTCAACATGTATTATAAAGGTCTACACTGTCAGTAAGTTAATTACAACCTGTTATTTAACAATCATCATAAAACACAAGCTACTGGTGTAAATTCACTGTGGTATCATGAGTCAACACTTCAGACATTTAGGGCTTATTCAGTACCGGGATAAGCATTCCTTGTTCTTTAAAACAACACACTTTTTTGGTCTCAGGCATTTTAAACAGGACAATTGCAAACCCATTTCCTTAGAATGACACTGTATCCACTCCCCCGTGATGTTTGTATCAGCTGTAGCTTAAATTTAGATAGTATTATAGTAGTTTTGGTTAAAACAACTGCACTTAAAGATGCAAGTTGGTATATGATCACATATATTTTAAACTGATACATAACTATCATACAATTAGTATTGGCACAGTATATTTAAACATATAGATGACAGGATTAAGAGTGAAGCACTGTGTTGAGTGCATAGAAATTGATAGACTTCCAACCTTCGTTACTTATCTTCTCAAATCCAAAGCATGGGATAGGAACTGCCACTTCAGGATGGGTTCATCACCGACTGCTTACGTTCACAATTACCATATGTAATGTTTCTTTGAGATATCCAGGGTTGTGGAGCACTTTGCGATCACCTGCCCTTAGCATGAAGAAGCTTTGTCTGTGCCGGCCAGGAATCAGTTCCTCAAATTCATTTACCACAGGCAACATAGTGCTTAGATGTGTAGTTTATGTTTGTGCTGTTGGTTACTCAGGGTACATCTACACAGCAACATTATTTTGAAATAACTTAGTCTGCATCCACGCAGCCAACAGTTATTTCGAAATAATGTCAAAATACTGTCAAGCTGGAGGACTTCTTACTCTGACTTCTGTAACCCTCATTGTATGAGGAGTAAGGGAAGTCAGAGGAAGAGTCCTCCATTATGAAATAAGTGCTGTGTAGACGCTCCCAATTTTGAAATAAGCTATTTTGAAATAAGCTACACAATTGACTTAGCTCAATTTGCATAGCTTATTTCAAGTTAAGCCCTGCTGTGTAGATGCACCCTCAGTGTTGTATGTTGTCGGTTTTCTGTTTCTTTCTTTGCTTAATATGGAATGTGTGCCATATTCCACACATTCCGATAATCGGGCACCTTTAGGACACAGGGGGTCCCAGATTATCAGATATGCCAGACTATCGGAAGGGGGGCCTATGAGGGGCCTGGGGTGGCATCCCCCCACCCCACCCCAGGCCCCTCATAGCCCCCCCTTCCGATAGTCCGGCTCTGCCCCAGGCATCCCTCATTCAGCCACTGCTAGTCAGTTCAGCAGCGGCTGAATCGGGGATGCCTGGGGCAGAGCCGGACTATCGGAAGGGGGGGCTATGAGGGGCCTGGGGTGGCATCCCCCCACCCCACCCCAGGCCCCTCATAGCCCCCCCTTCCGATAGTCCGGCTCTGCCCCAGGCATCCCTAATTCAGCCACTGCTGAAACTGACCAGTGGCTGATTCCGGGAAGTCCGGGGCAGAGCAGCTCTGGGGTGCTGCCAGCTGATCAGTTTCAACAGTGGCTGAATCGGGGATACCTGGGGCAGAGCAGCTGGGATGCTGCCGGGTTGGTCCCATAGCGCCGCCCCTCACCTGAGCGGTGCTGCGGGACCAACCCGGCAGCACTCCAGCTGCTCTGCCCCCGGCTTCCCCAACTCCGCCGCTGGTCAGTTTCAGCAGCAGTGGACTTGGAGAAGCTGGGGGGCAGAGCAGCTAGGGTGATCTGCATCAGGAGTGCCGGAGCATTGGATGCCGGACCAATGGAGTTTTACTGTTGTTAGTTTTTAGATTTACAGAATATTAAAACAAACGTTTAGTTGCCCTGTTCTGAATTCTCTATATTAATGTGCTACAATGTATGTTACATTGTGGTTCTTTGTATGACATCATTAAGCCTTGCTTTTATATTTTTCTTGCTAGATTATCCACATGCCAAACATTTCTCTTGGGAAAAATATTTGGAAGAAACCAGTTCTTTACCTGCACCTGCAAGAGCTTTTAAAGTGGTAAGAGAATGTTTATATAGTGTCCATACGTCCAGTGTTTTTTATTTATTAGCTAATGTACAGTAAATATTTTAATGTAAGTTTTTAAATTAGTGTGAGTGCGCAGAAATTTTTATCACTGTAACTTCCAAAAGTTTCAACTAATTTATACTGATAATACTTAGCCAATTAATGAATCTTCCCAACATACCTTGAAGAGAGATGAGTAATTATTATGGTCCCCACTTTACAGGAACAAGAAGAAAAGTGTCTTCTTCAGGAAAGCAGAAGGCATCATCAGAGCCAACATTAGAGATTAGGTTCTTGGCTCTGTAGGCTGGTCTTCTGCCTGTTTTTGTGAGCTGAGTTTCAAGTCCAAAATTTTTTAATATTATCACGTTGCTAAGGAATGTGGTGTAGTCCAAAATTCCAGAAATCAGCTGTAATTTACTGAGCGTTGGCTACTGGCTTACAGTACTTTTCACTACAGAACATTATCTGTTTAACAAGTGTGACCAAATCTTGAGTTTTCATTCAGAGTAGCCAAGTGAGATATTGCTATGTGCCAGGGGTGGGGATGCAGCCCCCAACTTGCGTGGCTCCGGCCCTCGAGGCTCCCCCCAGCATTGGGGAGCCTGTGATGGTGCTCCAGTTCCCCTGCCGGGCTAGAGCACACAGAATCTACTATCTTGGGCCTCCCTAGGCTCTGGCGTGCGAGGGGAATGTGGGAAGTGCCTCCTCAATTGGGTCACATCAGTGAAGGGGTTTTTTGGTTTGTTTTTGTGGTCCTTGTGGAACAAGGGGAAGCCTCACGGGACAGGAACTGCCACTTCAGGGTGGCTTCATCGCTGACTATTTAGTTTCACAGTTACCATGTGTGATACTTCCTTAAGATATCCACAGCTGTGTGGCACATTGCTATCACCTGCCTTTAGAGTGAGGAAGCTTTGTCTGTGTCTGCTGCGGGTCAGCACCCCAACTTCACAGACCATACGTAACACAAGTGCACTCCTCTCACTCCATGCAGGCTCTGCTTTGCCTTTGCAGGTTAGTGATGGATTTTCTCCAGTCATGGCCCTTGAGTGTCCAGCCCCTGTTCCATTGGGCACTCGCAGAATTCACAGATCTGCTAATCCCAAAGAATTTGTATATGCCAACTTGTCAGTTTCACCTCCAGATCACCACTACACTTAACACACAGTGCTTACATGTGTTTATAGTGAAAACAATCTTAAGTTTATTTATCAGAGAATAGAGATTTGAGAAGTAGCAAGATCAATAGAAACAAAGGATTCCATAAAAAATAAAATCATAACACATGGTTTACTAGAGCCTAAACATAATTTACCAGATGCCCTCTTGTTTGATAAGGCACAGGTTACCCAAAGTCCTTCTCACATTTTTCAACCAGGATGGCTTTCAGACCATCAAGAATGCCAGAGCTTCCCCTTGCTTCCCTAGATATATTGGATCTGTCCTTTGTTCTTCTCCCGTAAACTGGGGCTCCCCCATTCCATCCACTGCTCACCAGTTAATTTTCTTCTTCTGAAGTTCCCACAAACTCATTGTTAGTATTTGACTCAGTAATCAGATAGATGTACATGGTTAGATATGCAGTGGTCAGCGAGGGAGATAAGTGTCTCCCACCACCTCCGTGGAAGAACTTGCCTTTAATGTCAAGACTTTAAGAACATAATTTCTAATATATAAACTTGTCTCCTTCTATGCTATTTGCACATAAATTTCACAAAGATTATGTTGACCATTGTGACAGAGGCTTTCTGTATAGATTTTAAGTGACACTCTTTGGTGAATTAATATGTACATGCCAGAGTACAGGATTCCTGTAACACTTATGCGTTGTCTTCTACTTGGCCTCAAGAGGTCCTTGTGTGAACTCAGTGGCAATTTCTAAATTTAATCATAATTTAAAGTTCCTTTGATCTAGGAAGGAGCATAGTGCATGAGTGTAAAAAGATACAGTATGTAAAATTATTATGCTGTATGCTGTTGCATAGAGGTAGAAATGCTCTTAAAACATTTCCAGGGGAAACAAACAGCATTAACAGTCTTTACAGCATTAATGTTGATTTTATTTACATGGGAGGCTTGAAGTCTTAGAGAAGTAAATTATTTTTCTAGTTTAACAAGTTATTTGAGTACAACCAGTTTTGTTTTGGGGTTTTTTTTATTGTTTTTTTTTTTTTTTTGAGGGGAGCAGTTGCCCTTCTATTTTATAACAGCTCTTTTTTACGTTACATTGAACTATCCATCATCTCTTATTGTAGAAACCTTCTCATGGATTTCAAAAAAATATGAAACTTGAGGTAGTTGACAAGAGGAATCCAGTACTTATCAGAGTAGCAACTGTTGTAGACATTGATGACCACAGGATAAAAGTAAGTCTCTTTCAGTCTAACTTGGACGTGCTACTTCGATCATGTTGATTGTTATTTTTTACAAAATATACTGAGGTTCCAAAATTAAGGGCCTTTCTAGGTTGCACAGGAAGATATGAATCGCATCAATGCGCTGCTAAACTCTCACTGTCCTCCTCACTGATTAATTTACATGTAATTCCTTTGGAATGGGTATTTTTTTTTTGGTTTTTGGTTTTTGGTTTTTTTTTAAGTTAGGGATGTGCTGAAATAGAAGCTTAGGAACAAAGGATGAGTGTGTTGGGGAAATTGCATTGGGAATAGTTTTGAGATAAAAGTTGTTTTATCGTAGAATGTTGATGATTTAATACCCAATATCAAAAGATTGCTATGATTTTTGTATTAGGGCTCATAAAATATTTGGGACAGAATAATAAAATCTTTCTCCATAATTTTCACCCTGCAAAAGCCAAAGTGAGAGAGGGAAAATCTAAAGAGAATAATTTTTTTAAAAGATTGCCGTATGTCAGGAGCTTCTGTGCTATAGAAGTTTATATTAATTCAGGACTCTAGATTGGATTAATTTCAAATAACGTGTTTGCTGAAGGATGTGCTGTTTTTCCTTAAGATTTGTGTGCCTGGGTTTTTGTGTGTGCGTGCGTGCGCATCTCTCTCTCTGTATCCATCCGTCTGTGAGTCTGTTCAAGAACTCCTGCTAATGGTAATTATGCAGCTTCCTCTTATAACTTAAAGCAAGGTCAGGATTTAGTTTTTCCAGGACAGTGAGATGTGCCTGGAATGTGATTGTTTCTCAGCAAATGGAAAGTGAGAAGCTGTGATAGCTGGGACAGTTATACTCAAAAATGACCACAGAGGGGTGGCATGCAAGGGTGCCACGCCGCCTTCTGAGAGCAGCCATTGTCTGAGCTGTATAGCCTCTGACACCCCGGGCTGGCCCCAGGGAGCAGCCACTGGCTGCCCACACCCTCTGCCCTAACTCCTGCACCTCCCACCCCATCCCCAGTGGTCCCACGCACCTCACAACCCCTTGCCATGACTCCTGCACCTACTCCCCTGACTCCTGTATCCTCCCCAACTTCTGCCCTGAGCTCCCCACCCTCTGTCCTGACTCCTGCATCCCGTACACCTTACCCAGAGCCTTCTACATCTAACCCCCCGTCTAGACTCCTGCACCCTCCACATGCCCAGCCCCCTGCCTGAAGGACCCAGGCAATACTGGATAAATCTTCTGTATACTGAAATAGTCTTCAATGTATCTTGTTATGTGTAAGATCATAAGAAATAAAGATCCAGGGTCTTCATTAATACAATAATTTATGTAAGTTAGGGTTGTGGATTTGTGGTCCCAACCTGAAGAAAAGTAGAGATTGTCTTCTACAGAATCATATAGTTCTTTTTCTCATCTAAATTAAATCCTTATCCTGAATGGTCAAATTTTACAATACCTATAGATCCCTTTATTTTGGGAGGTAGCAAAATTCTTTGTGCATAGGATTTTTACAAAGTATATGCTTTAACTGTTTTAACTCCAAGTTAAAAGAGAAATTTTACCATTCTAAATATTTAGTGCCTTTGAGCGAGAGAGAGTACAGATTTTGTCCCTTAATTTAAAGTGTTAGTGTAAATAAACATTAGACCTCTCTAAATCGACCGATACATTTTGAGCATAACAATGTTCTATCCAGAGAGTCCCATTCTGCTCCCACTGAAAATAATACACTTCAAAATCTAGTTTATACTTCTGTGTAATTTCTCCAGTGTTTTTATATTATTATTCTAATGAAGCCGATATTATAAAGCCTGATATTTTGAGAGATTGTTGGGGTAAATGAGTTTATACAGAAATTTTCTGTTGTTTTTGTTTCCTCATTTAGGTGCACTTCGATGGCTGGGACAATATTTATGATTATTGGGCTGATGCAGAGAGTCCTGATATCCATCCTGCAGGCTGGTGTGCAAAAACTGGACACCCTCTTCAGCCTCCTCTTAGTAAGAGAAATTGTAAACTGGTATAATTTTAAAATGATTAGGGGCATGTGTAATTTGTGTCGAACTTCCTGTTTGACACCATTCACAAGAATGCAGCAGTTGGTGTATGTAGAAGAAAACAAGTAGATGTGATGTTTATAACAAAAACATAATTTGAGATTTGGCGTAATTGCTTTTTAAGAGGTGAATGTGCTGATCTTGTAAATGAAACATAACAATTATTCCTTTAATATATGAGTAATTCTAATACATTTTAACAATCTAGGGGGAATTCTTGGCCCTACTGAAATCAGTGGTAAAACGATAATTGACTTTTGTTGGATCTGGATTTTGCCCCTGTTAATTTATTAAATATTTTTGGATCTTTTCCCACATATATGGAGTTCCATTAAAACACAGAATGTAAAGTGTACTCTGGTCAGTTTATATTATTGTTAATTTTATTTCAAATATTTGCTCTGTAAAACTAAGCAAAAGAAATAGTATTTTTCAGTTCATCTCATACAAGTGTTGTAGTGCAGTCTCATTATTGTAAAATGTAGATTTATTTTATTAAGTAACTGCACTCAAAAACAAAAATATGCAAATCTTTATAGCTTGTATGTCCACTAAGTCGTCCTTCTTGTTCAGCCAGTTGCTAAGGCAAATAAGTTTGTTTACATTTATGGGAGATACTGCTGCCAGCACCTTATTTATGAATAAATAAGATACTTCGTATTGATTGGGTTCTTAACTCAATTAATTTTTGTTTTTCTTCATTTAAATCATTGCTTTGGGGTGGGGCTGGGGAGGAGAAGTTCAGTATGAAGGCTTCACTGGAGACAGAAGATTACTCCCAGGCCTCTCTCATTACAGCAGCTTGTGGCCAGGTGAGAAGTGCCTCTTCATGACTGCTGCAGCTCCAGCAGGTGCAACTGGGGAAGGTTTGTCTGTCCCCTGCGCTCCCTAGCGAAAGCGAGGAATGGAGCAAACTGCACTTTCCTCTCACTCCCTGACGAAGGGGAACAGCCAGCAACGTGGGAGGTTGGCAGCTCTCCTGCCTTCCCTCCCCCCCAAAGGACTTCTGGAGGTTGGGAGGCTCAGTGCTGGGGCTGTCCCAGATGGGGAAAGCCTCCTTCCTCCCAGCTAGTCCCTTTCACCTGCCTGGTGATTCTGTCTCTTTTCTGCGTGGCTTTATGCATCTCTGTATGCATTGTGGGTGGAGCTTCAGCTTCCCTCCCTCTACCATCCCCCGACATCCAAACCTTTAGTTTGCTTTAAGTTTTAGAGGGGTAGCCATGTTACTGAAAAAACTTAAGAAAACAATGAATAGTCCTGCAGCACCTTAGAGACTAACAAAACATGTAGATGGTATCATAAGCTTTTGTGGGCACAATCCCCGTCTATAGGAGTTAATGGGTCTGCTAATAAATAGCATAGAAAGAGAGGGGATGACGTGGGAAAGAGAAGGGGAAAAAATAGAGAAAAAATATTGCCAATTAGAGTGTCCATGTTAAATGATGCTAGTAGAGTGGGCTCTGAGTACCTGGTGCTTGGCTTTTTATGTAATTAGGATATGGAATGCAGTGGCTCATCCAGGTCAGGTCTTTGTTTAAACCTCTTTGAGGTGTCAAACTTGTAAATGAACCAAGTCTGCAGCTTCTCTCTTTCAAGCTATCTGCTGAAATTGCTTCATAATAATATAGACACTTTTGGAATCATTGGTGAGTTTCCGGGCAAGTTGAGAGACTGCAGAACTTGCCTTCATTTACAAATTTGACACCTCTCTCTCTCTCTCTCTCTCTCTGTGTTAATTATTGGTACCCTGGACCCCTTAACTCCATTCATCTGAAGAAGTGGTTGTGCTCACCAAAGCTCATGACACCATCTACATCTCTTCCTCATAAGAGGAAGCTGCATACCAAATCTGGTGCTCGTAGCTCTTACTGATTAGAAGGAATTCTCAGATGGACAGAGACAGATTAACTTGCTCACAGTCAAACTCTCTCTCTCAAATACATAATAAATGTCACCTGAAAGTGAGAACAGGCAATTGCATGGCACTTTTGTAGCCAGCATGGCAAGAACGCTTTCGCTGCAGATTTGACAAAATGCAAAGAAGGTTCCATGTGAGATTTTTTAAAGATAGCTACAGCACCGAATCCAAGATTTAAGAATTTGAAGTACCTTCCAAAATTTGAGAGGGACAAGATGTGAGAATTCTTTTAGAAGTCTTAAAAGAGCTACACTCTGAAGGGGAAACTACGGAACCCAAAGCACCAAAAAGAAAAATCCTTTCTGCTTATGGTGTTTGACTGAGATGATGAAAATGAACATGTGTTAGTCTGTACTGACTTGGTTTGTTATAGAGAAGAACACATCATCTGCGTGGTCATGTCTTCTGAAAGCACAAAGGGGCATATGACTCTAGTGCATCTGACATAAGTATTTTGCAGTGCTGGCTACAATAGTGCCATGTGAATGCCTATTTTCACTGTTGGGTGACATTGTGAATAAGAAGCAGTCAGCATTTTCTCCTGCAAATGTAAACGAACTTGTTTGTCTGAATGAATAGGAAGTAGGACTGAGTGGACTGGTATGCACTAAAGTTTTACATTGTTTTAATTTTTATTGCAGTTTTATTTGTACATAATTCTACATTTGTAAGTTCAACTACAGTGCTTGTATTAAGTGAATTGAAAGAAATAATATGTCTTCTGTTTTTTCACTACAAATATTTGTAATAAAAAATAAAGTGAGCAGTGTACACTTTGTATTTCTGTGTTGTAATTGAGATCAATATTTTTGAAAATATAGAAAAACATCCAAAATATTTAAATAAATGGTTTTCTATTATAGTTTTAACAGTATGATTAATCACAATTAATTTGTAATTGCCTGACACGCCTAATCAGAATGTCTGTGTTTGTGTGGTTTTTTTCTAAGAAAGGAAAAAAATTCTAAACACAATTAATGTTTTCTGATGCTCAGAAGAGATTTCTTCATCTCCTAAAGTGGAGAAACACACTGAGACTCTCACTTGCTGACTTCATGGATTGTGTGCTGTGTGTTCGATTGACTACCAAAAATAATGTTGACAGTCATACTCTTCAAAGCCTCCACAAACCTCACTTTTATCATCCATTGATGAAAACCAGATATTCCCAAAAGTTCAGAGGAGTAAGCCAGTGAAAATGTGTGTGATTTGCTCTTACTAACGTTGTTGTCGTCACTGATTTTCACTTCTTCATTTATTGGAAAATGCAAACTAAAAACCTCAAAGATCAATATCCACTGTGAACAGATCTGTCTTTAAACACATCAGCCTTAGTATGATTGCTCTTTCAAAACAACATTATTACAGCTGCAGTGTGATAAATCCAAAATATATTACAGATTAAACAAATCCTCTAAAATGTGTGTACTGTTACCTGGACTATTGATTATGTAGCTTTTTCAGAGAGAATAATTTATAAAAGATATTTTATTTTCTATTTAAAATCTATTGCATTAGTTTGTATCATTTTTGTACAAAATACATTTTCATAAGTACTTTAAGTTGTGTGTTATGTACTATTTATAGTTCTGTGTGTTAATGTAATCCTCCAGTTCTTGCTTGTGTGTGAATTTATGTAATTGTACTAATTTTTCATGTGTCCTGATATATAGGTCCCTGGGAATTAGTGGAAGCTTTAGAACATGGAGGATGCCCTACTGCAGGATGCAAAGGAGTTGGACACATAAAACGAGCAAGACACATTGGCCATCACAGGTATGTGCTATAAAAAGTTATAGCTTAATTGCAGCTTGGTATAATTATATCATTTACAAAGAAAGCTGCTTATACTTTTTTTAATTGCTGTTCTCAAGAAAGAAGAACCAACTTGAACAAAATTAGATCCACATTGCCTTCAGTTGCTATGGTGAGCATGTAGAAATTAACATTGACAGCAAGGTGTGCTTAGGAAAAACATGTCTTACGTTTGTTTCATTGCAAATGACGGATGGAGCTACTCTGCTTTTTGCTCCTGAACAGGCTACTCATGTGGCTGTTTGCATTAGAAAATTATGCAAAAAACCTTTTGTGCACTTGCAACTTTGTACCATTTGAAATTAATGGGGGAATAATTTTGTTGTGTCTTTTGCTTAGGGTTTTATAAATTTTTGACAAAGCAACTTTTAAATCTTTAATCCCATAATTCTGTCATCACCTTTGATGGGCCTGCTGTTCTTCAAGAAGACTCAGCAAGGGGGAGGGAAGTATGCTGAGGAAATGGAGAGGAAAGAGGGAGAATTATCACAGAAGTCACCAGTTTTGTCATTGGTCTGTAAACGTGGTTATATTTTAAAGCAAAATGACCCTAGGAGCTCAATAAGTGAAATACAATCAGTGCAAAGTGTCCAGTTTCTTGCCCTAATGGCAAGACCAAGCACTGTCTAGAGTAGACCATCCCTAATAGATGTCTGTCTAACCTGCTCTTAAATATTTCCAGAGATGGAGATTCCACAACCTCCCTAGGCAATTTATTCCAGTGTTTAACCCCCCGACAGTTGGAAGTTTTTCCTAATGTCCAACCTAAACCTCCCGTGCTGTAGTTTAAGCCCATTGCATCTTGTCATATCCTCAGAGGCCAAGGAGAACAGTTTTTCTCCCTCCTTCTTGTAATACGCATTTAGGTATTTGAAAACTGCTATCTTGTCTCCTCTCAGTCTTCTCTTTTCTAAACTAAACAAGCCCAATTCTTTCAGTCTTTTCTTTGCTTTCAACTTGCATGCAGCTAAAGGTGCACCTTTTGGTAAATTTTGTGTTGGTGCCGTCTTGCAATATGTTGGCAGTAGGGTTCTCCCTTATATTCTCTTTGCTTTGTTCTGTTATATTTGCCATTTTCTTAATTTTTTTTCTCCTCTCTTACTTTCCCTTTTGTCTTTTTCTATCCCAGTTCTGTCAGTCCACTGGCTTTTTTTTTTCTTTCTTTTCTGTGCCTTCTTTCCTTTGAGTTGTGAGTTTGTGTGGTTTTTTTTCTCTTTCCTCTTTTGTAGTTGTTTCCACTCTCATGGTGTGGGAAAAGACATTCAGCTGTGAGTTTTGAATCCAGGTTACCTGTGCCTTTGTAACTGTTCTCAGTGCCAGAAGAGCAGAGAGAAAAAAAGCCAGACAGATTGTTAGAATAATTTCATCTGACTTCATACATACACAAGGAGGCTCCTGCTTGATTTTGGGAACACATTACTTCAACTTTGAGCAGAGCTGTGATCTAGCAACATTTGCCATCCCATTTATCTCCTTTGCCACTGCCTCTGCCTACTTTTATAGTATGAAACAGATTTGGCACTAAACATTTTTATACTACGAAAGTGTAATGCTTCTGGCAGGTGGCGTCAGCAGTAACAACAGGCAAGTTCAGTGTCTAGGGTTACTTTTAGCAACAGAAAATAGAATTGGCTTGAGCCCTCATCTAGTAACCTGGATAAATGAAACCTTCCCTGGGTACCTCTAAGAGGCAGTTCTTCTGTTCTCACAAATACCAAGTGTGTAGAACAAAATACAACTTCTATCCAAAGGGAAAAGGTGTTCCAGTTTGGGAAAACATCACAGCCATAATTCAGAAGCATGTGATCATAGGCAGACATCTACCCCACAATACATTGGGCTGTGTCCTTTGTCTCCATTGTTCACCTTGTGGTCCAACAAACACATGTCCCTTATCACACCTCTCCTCTTTCTCTTCATGGCATCCCATTCACAGGTCCTTGGTTAGAAAGACCCAGAGTAGTTCAGCCATGTGCTCATGGGGAAGAAAAGGAGTGGAAGGGGGCATTGAGCAGGGCCTTGGTTCCATTGCATCTGTAACTGGCTCTCTGCTGCTGCTCTCCACCACCACCCGCTATCTCTCTGTCACCACTACTACCCACCATTGTGACATCACATCCTGAGGTTCTGCCACTTAACCGAGCTCTGAGTAATTTCAGCAGTTAGTGGGAAGCCTTATGGCCAGTGCAGCTTCTGCGTGCCTTTTACTGGTCTCACACAACCTCTATTAGCCCCTAGACTTGCTCAGTGGTCAGGGGAACTCTAGGAATCACCAGCTGGAAACAAGGACTCTGAATTGAGTCTAATCATTTTTGTTGTTAAACTGGAGAGCAACAGGTCAAGTGGTGACTAGACCTCTTTATGCAGGGTGCACACTGCCAGGTAAGAATACCTGTCACCACCAACTTTTCTCCTCACTGGGATTTGGCATCCCCAGCCCTTGCTTAGCAAGTAAAGTTCAGTTTAGGCTGCCCCCTTCAATCAGGGCATGCCAAGCCCAGTTCTGCTTTCCTTTCCTCATAGGGTAAGGAGAACAGCCTTTCAGTACTCCTGTCATTCAGATAGTAGAGTGATTTGTAACCCAAGCCAGTCAACATGGAACATTTGGCAAAGCAGCTTCATCAAGCTGCGTACTTAGGTGGTGTAGGCATATCTGTTCAAACATGGTGTGCTCCTGAAGCTCTCTCTTCCTTCCCTCCTTGGGGAAATCACAAGATGTCAGCAGAGAGTTTCAAACAAACCCTGATTACAAGAGGAAAGAATGAGAAAGAGATATATATGAAGTTAGCACATATGTGCTCTGCTTTTATAACTGGATTTTCTGGGCTACTTAAAATGATTACGCTTACTCATTCTGAATACTGAGAGACGAACCAGCATCCATTGCAATTTATTGTATTTTATTTTTACTGTAATCTTAGAAATCCTATCGTGTATACAATGACCAATAGCTTTAGGAATAAGAAAACAACCCAGAGGGGTTTTGTTGATCATAAAACTAAAAGATTTGCCTCTTCATAGCATATACATTATATTATTATTTCACTGGTTTGCTTTGTGCATTGGATATATTGTCTGTTAAAATTGCTTGGAGGAAAAATGAGATTTTTTTTGTTTATCTGGAGCCTTCAGGTCATCCTAAGGATTCTAATATTGTATTTCCTCCTGAATGTATTGTTAATGTTTTATAATTATTCACATACAGGTACAGTTCTTTGGCTCTTTCATTTAAGTAACCTCAAATTGTATTTTAACTATGCGTCTTTTTGTTTATGTACATATGTATCTGTGATGATAAGGTGCAGTATATGTGCGGAGTAAATGCCAAACAGCAGGCAGAATGATCACATACAATGCTAAGCAGTTTGAAATAATATTGATAGCTTGCTCCTTAGGAGCCAGACAAAAGCATTGGATGATTGATTATGACAGGGTTAAAGTGTGCACTTTTTGAAAAAGTTAATGATAATACGGACTTGTTTTCAGTAGTGAATCTAAGATTTTTTAAATGAGGGTAGAAGCTGTGGGACCAGTATGAAAATAGATAGCATTATGCAAATTAGCTGCTTGTTTATGATTATGAAATGTGTGCGTATAGCAAGCAACAGTCTTCAAATTCTGGCAGTCATAAAAAGCAATCATTTGTATTTGTAGTTTGCTAGTGTCTTGGGTCAACTCTTGATGAATAAACATTAAAGCCTAGTCTGCTTCAAAGGTGCTCAGTTGTTTTAGCACATCATCATTTTTTATGTGGCAGTTGAGAGAGAATACTGGTTCATGTTGAGCCAGAGTTTAAATTAAAGTTTTGGGAATGACCTCCTTTCCTTGTTAGTATCTCCTGTGTCCTTGTGCTTAGTTAGAAACCTAATGGTCATCGGGTAAATATGGCAAGTAATCATCTGGTAAATATGGCAAATGATGGGTAAACATAATTATAATTGCTGAAATTCCTAGGCAGCAAAGCAATAAAATAGAACACAATCTTATTATTAGTTCTAAATCACTAACTTAACTGCATGAATTACTGTATAGTATCTATCAGTGGGAGAGAGAGTGAATGCCATATAAATATAAATAATAAGCAGCATCTGTTTTTACTATTTTTTAATCATTCTTGAGTCTTCCAGTGTGGAAAAAAAATCAATTTTTGTGTTGAGCCTGTAAAAGGTGCTGGATTGACTGTTCTTCAAACTGTACTCCCGTGTCACCAGAACCACTGTCTTCTAACAGTGCCATCTCAACATAGCACAGCCTTCATTTAGTATAGCTTAGTATCCATGCCAGTACAGTCCTTTAACTGTCTGCTCAGTACTATTTGTGATTTTTTTAATATATATATTCATCTCCAGGAACCTGGAGAGAGCACACTGAACTGGCTCTGAAGATAATTTAATGTCTCTAACTAACCTAGATTGAACTCAGCTGGAAACTTTGGTAGCTTGTGATTTATGATGTCACACTAAACCTTTCAACTCCAGATCACTGCTTTAAGACAAAATGCTGAAAAACAGGCTTAATTTACAAATGGCCTTCTTATCAGGCCTGTCAAGTCAATGAAGTTATTTGTTTTTAAGACCTATAGGCACTCATATAAAGAAAACACTTTATTAATAGAGATATAACAAGATTAAATATTAATGCTTCATAGCTGGCCTGTTAAATGAAAAGCTGGAGGCATTGAGGCTCAGGAGGGATTCACTGATTGATTTAAACCTACATAACTCATAGGTAAGTTCATGCTTGCTATACTTTGTTAAAATTAATCTGACAAATGGAAATCATGGGAATTCTTTTCATTTTTATTCCTCTGAGTAATCCAAATACCAAGGACTGTATTATGAAGTGTTCCTTCTACTTTCTGTAGTACCTTAATTAGGGGCTAATTTGCACCAAAGAAAAATGCTAAAGCAAAGTGCCTTAGAACATCATTAATATTATAACTGCTGCTGATTAGTACAGTA